TTGCATGGGCCATGCATGAAGGCTTTTAGTCTACGTACTTTGGGTTGCGTGTAGGCACCCTGTTCGACCTTCGCGGCCCATCATTGCCCCCATCTTGCAGATGGACCTTGTCCTCAAGGTCCAAATTTATGTACTTCTCGCGCAGCTCTTGAGAATTCTCCCATGTGGCATCTTCGCTGGGAAGGTTCTTCCAGTGGGCGAGGCTTTCTTCCACGAAGGTGGATCCTTTCTTCACCCAGCGGGTATCCAGAATGGCTGCCGGTTCTGTGACAAGTTCTCCATCCTCGTTTATGGGCGGTAACTCGGTGCTAGTGGCAGTGGTTTTGCCCACCTGTCTTTTGAGTAGGGAAATGTGAAAAACTGGGTGGATGCGCAAGCCCTCGGGAAGTCAAAGTTTATAGGCCACCTTGCCGATTCGTTCTTCAATTTGGTATGGTCCATAAATAGCGACTGGCCAGCTTGTGATAGGCTTGCCCATGAACAGTCTGCTGTCAGTACGGGTGGAGTTTGAGAAAGACCAGATCGCCCACTTGGAATTCCACGTCTCTTCTTTTGGACTTAGCCATTTGGGTCATGCGGTTAATTGTTGCATGTAGGTTTATTTTGAGTTGCTGCAAAATGGCATCTCGAGAGAGCATGACTTGATCCACCTCTTCTACCGGGGGTGTTCCACCTTGGTAGTTTGGAATACGAGGTGGTGGTCTTCCATAAAGGGCTTGAAAGGGCGTCATTCCGATAGAGGAATGATAGGTGGTGTTATACCAAAATTCTGCCCTTGGGAGAAAGGAGCTCCACTTCCGAGGTTGCTGGAAAACAAAGCAACGAAGATACTGCTCTAGACAACGATTGACCACTTCGGATTGCCCATCAGTTTGGGGGTGATAGGCCGAGCTCATGTGCAATTTGGTACCGGACATCTCGAAGAATTCCCGCCAAAAGTGGCTGACGAAGATAGGATCTCTGTCACTAACGATCATCTTTGGCATACCGTGGAGCTTCACAATTCCTTCTACAAACCTTTCGGTTACTAATTTCGCCGTATAAGGGTGTGGTAAGGTCAAGAAATGAGCTGATTTAGTGAGATGGTCTACTACCACGAAAATAGTGGTTTTGCCCTTGGAGGGTGGTAGACCTTCTATAAAGTCCATGGTAATGTCGTCCCATACTTGGCAGGGAACGGGTAATGGTTGTAGCAGTCCTGCTGGGGATAAAGTGTCTGCCTTATTTTTTTGACAAATGACGCAAGAGGCTACGTATTGCTGAATATCTTTATACATGGAGGGCCAATAGAACTGCTGTGCCATACGCTTGTATGTTCTTAGTACCCCCGAGTGTCCACCATATGGGGAGTCATGAAATTCATGTAAGAGGGTAGGGACGAGGTGGGACTGAGGAGGGATCACGACCCGGTTTTTGTAACATACCAGTCCATTCTTCCATGTGTAGGGAACTCCAGGACTCTCCATTACAAGCTTGCCGACGTGGATCATGTAGGGGTGAGTGTTGGCTTCTTTCTTGATGGTGTCCCACAGAAATGTTTGAAGAATATAGAGAGTATTAAGGCTAGGACTGCCTAGTACTCTAGATAGAGCATCTACAGCTGAGTTTTCCCGTCCAGACTTGTAAATGATCTCATAGTCGTACCCGAGCAGTTTGGACACCCATTTCTGTTGTTCCGGTGTCCCAATGTGCTGCTCCAAGAGATACTTGAGGCTGTGATGATCGTTCTGGACGTAGAATTTTCGGCCCAACAAGTAAGGTCGCCATGTCCATATTGCCTGAACAATGGCAAGCATCTCTTTGGCATAGGTGGACCAACTTTGTTTGTTGACGCCCAGAGCTCGGCTCATGAATGCTATGGGTCGTCCCTGTTGTGTCAATACTGCTCCAATACCTGCCCCGGACGCATYCGACTCAATGATAAAAGGCTCATCAAAATTAGGCATTGCCAGTGTGGGGGTCGTGGTCATTGCTTTCTTTAAGGCTGTAAATGCCTCTTGGGCTTCGGTGGTCCAACGAAATTCACCTTTTTTGAGAAGAGTAGTGAGGGGTCGAGCTATGATCCCATAGTTGCGGACGAACTTCCTGTAATATCCTGTAAGGCCTAAGAAGCCGCGCAAGTCAGTAATATGAGTGGGTTGAGGCCATTTAAGCATAGCCTCAATTTTCCCTTGGTCTACCTTGACCCCTTGGGAAGTGACAATGTGACCCAGATACTTCACCTCTGGCTGGCTGAATATACATTTACTAAACTTGATAAAAAATTGGTGATGCCTTAAAACCTCAAAAGTTGTTCTAACATGTTCAAGATGCATGCTCCAATTGGGACTATAAATAAGAATATCATCAAAGAAAACTAGCACAAACTTTCGGAGATAGGGGCGGAAGACAGAATTCATAATAGCCTGAAAGGTGGAAGGTGCATTACACAGGCCAAAGGGCATAACCAAGTACTCATAGTGACCATTGTGTGTGCGAAATGCCGTTTTATGAATGTCCCGTGGGTGGATCCGTACCTGATGGTATCCGGATCGTAAATCAAGTTTAGTAAAGAAAAAGGCTCCATGTAGTTCATCTAGCATATCGTCAACCGTTGGAATAGGAAATCAATCCTTAATGGTCACGGCATTGAGTGCCCGGTAATCGGTACAGAAACGCCAAGTCCCATCCTTCTTTTTTAACTAGCAAGATAGGGGAAGAAAAGGGACTTGTGCTAGATCGTATTAGCCCCAACCGTAACATGTCTTGTATTTGTTTTTCTATTTCAACTTTTTGGAAATAGGCATACCTATACGGGCGGACATTGATGGGTTCCGTTCCTTCTTTGAGATTGATGCGGTGGTCGATCTCTCTCCGCGATGGCAATTGTGTGGGCTCTTGGTAGAGAGATCTTTGAATTCGGTCAGTAGTTGCTACATATCCGGGTGTAGTTGTGGTGATACTTCTTTCATGACTGCTTGGAGACAGACGGTAAATAGCGAATGTCCCTGCTTAATCCCCTTTGAGAATCCTTTGAAGGATGCAAGCTGAATTGGTTGGTTGTCGACCCCCTTCAACAGCCGGTGTTGGTTGGCCCAAGAAAACTCCATTGTCATTTTCTTCCAATCACACGCCACTATGCCCAATTGCTCGAGCCAATGGATTCCTAGTACCATGTCCAACCCAATCAGTGGTAAAGAATAAAGTGTTAAGGTGAACGGGATACCTTGTAGTAAGACTTGCACATTTTCAAATCTTCCTCGGCACTTAAGGGGTTCGCCATTGGCTACTTTGACATTGAAGGGCTCGGTAGGCACGACCGGTAAGTGCAGCAGTTCGACTATTCGGTCGTTGATGAAGTTATGGGTGGATCCACTATCGATAAGAACAATCAGTTCGTGGGATCCTACCTTGGCCGTGACATGCATGGTTCTAGCCGTCGACCATCCCGTAAGGGCATGGAGTGATATTTCAGGCTCCTTGCGCGGGTCGATGAAGCTTTGTTCGTCATCCTTTGGTTCATCGTCGGTACAGTCTCCGGCGAGTAGTAGCAGCTGCGACCCCTTGCATTTGTGTTCGGGCCCAAATTTCTCGTCGCAATTGAAACATAGACCTTGAACATGCCTCCTCTGCATTTCTGTCTAAGAAAGACGTTTCAATGGTGGAGTCGTCTTCGTCTTTGTCAGGAAAGAGTCGTCGGTGGTTCTGGTGGCTGAACGCAGAGTCTTCTCATGACGACGCAGTTGTTCATCCTTCATTCGCACCAAACTAATGGCTTCCTTCAAGGATTTCGGTTTGAACATCCGAATTCCGTCGACTATGTTCGTTTTGAGACCTCCCATGAACGTGCCCACCAACGCCTTTTGGGTCCATCCGTGCACCCTATTGCCCAATCTTTCAAACTCCTTCTGATATTCCCGCAGAGACCCCGTTTGTCGTATTTTTGATAACGACTCATCGAAGTCTTCGCAATCAGTTGGGCCGAAACGAGCCCAAAGCTCTTCTACAAAAATCTTCCATGTTACCTCCTTTCTGTCTTCGTGATAGGCCCAACGTAACCATTGCCACCATTGGTTTGCCTCCCCTTCCAAATGGAATGAGGCGAGCGATACTTTCTGTGGTTCCTCGGTGTGCTAGTATTCGAAGAACTGGTCAACACAGACGAACCATTCGGTTGGGTCATCACCGGAATACTTGGGAAACTCGAGCTTGGCTAATTTCGAGGAGAACATGGGTCATCCTCCTTCTGTGTTGTCACGAGAAGGTTCGGGGGAGGACTGTCCACTGCGACCATTAGCGTGGCTCAGAGATGGTTCCTGTCGAGTCAACAAGGCTTCGGATATCCTACTAATAGCTGCCTTGAGTTGGTGTAACTTGTCATTAACACCTAACTCGAGCCTGCTCAAATTTGCTTGGAGTCCCCCGAGCCCAGCTTCCAAACTCTCTATTCTTTCTTTGTTAGTGGCCATGGTGCCTAGCTCCAATACCAATGATAGGTCCCAATCAAAGCTAGAGTGATAGAGTATTCTGCTTAGGGTGAGAATAAGACCACGAGATTTTATTAACTTCCAACTGCCCCATCCATGTGGTTGGATGRTGTTTAAATACAAAAAGTTTTAACTACCTACCACTGAGATAGCCTCAAAGTAAGGGATTAGCCTTCTAAYTACATGGCCGATCCCTATGCCATCTCATAATAACAACTTAAYAAGAATAACAACTAACCTATTTGGCCGATTCTCATGCCATGACAAACTAACAATCAACAACTTAACAACCTAACTTCTTGACCGATTCTTGTGGCTAACACCCTGACCGATTGCATGGGCCATGCATGAAGGCTTTTAGTCTATGTACTTTGGGTTGCGCGTAGGCACCCTGTTCCACCTTCGCGGCCCATCACCTACCGCATTCGAGCTCTCTTTATTGTTGTATCTGCAACCCGAACCACAAGAAAGAAGAGAAAATAAAATCAAAATGGGGAGTTATGCAACCATAACTTCCACCCTCTTCTTCTTGTCCAACTACCTATCTGTTCTGTGTTTTTTTTCATTCTCTTTTATCGATTTTGGATTTCTTGACTGGTGACGGACTGACGGTATTGTGTCTTGTTTCAGGAAGAGAAGAAACCGGAGGAGAAGAAAGTAGAAGATCAGAAGAAAGGAGAAGAAGGGAAGAAAACAGAACAAGAGAAGAAAGAAGAAGCCAAGCCCGATAAGCCAAGTGGGGAGAAGGAGGAGAAGAAAACAGAGGAATTCCAAGGGTTCAGAAGAAGCCAAGGAGAAGGAGCCCCCTCCTCCACCAGAAGAAGTCGTTCTTAGAGTCTACATGCATTGCGAGGGGTGCGCTAAGAAGGTCAAGAGAAGCTTGAGGGGATTTGAAGGTTTGAGTTTAAGAGATCCATTTTGATTTTGTCTTGCTCTGTGAGAGGTTATTGAATGTGGGTCTCACCCTTTTATTTTTGTGTTGAAGTTTTTTTCCAGACAGAGAGAGGAGAAGACTTCACTCACTGTTCGAGTCTTCGAGGAGAGAGGGAGCATTACCCAAGAGAGTTCGAGAGACCCGAGGGCACTGCTGCTGCTGCTGGAAACCCAAGAAGCAGGTCGGAGTCCGAGGGATTAAAGTTAAGGAACCGGGAAGAGGAAGAGGATGACGATGGAGAAGATGATGACGACGATGACGATGAGAAGCGACGACAGAAACAAGAAACCTTAGATGACAGGAACAACGCACGGAAGATGAGATTAAAAAATGAACAGAAGAAATAAGTGTATGTGAAGAAAAATCAAGAAAAGAGAAAAGAAATACCTGCGCGAAAAAGAAACAGAGCAAGGAAGCGATGGGCTTGAAGAGCAGATCGGTCGTTCAATGGATCACATATCTTCCATTGAAGGCCTGCCGCAAACCCCTACCGGGAAAGAACAGTGAAGAAGAAGAAGAGAGAGAGGGAGAAATAGAGTGGCCTACTCTTGCCGCAAATCCTCTCTATCATCTAGTATGAGCGGAAAATTGACTTCAGTTCTGACTTCTGAAATCAGGAGAGAGAGAGAACGCGGGGTGAGGACTGAGGAGAGAAGTGGAGAAATAGAGTGACACATATAGAAAGAGAGGCAGAGATGAGAGGGAGAGTGGGAAGACAGAGAGGAAAAAGTAGACACGCGTTATGCATGCAAAATGGAGGGAGAGAGAAGTGATTTTAGATAACTTGTCTGAAATCAGGAGAGAGAAAGAACGCGAGGTGAGCACTGAGGAGAGAAGTGGAGAAATAGAGTAACACGCGTTATCCCTTATGCACTGTTCACACGTGCAATTCATTGATACAATGCTAACTAGACTAAAACAGTAAGATTCCGTTTTGCGCGAAAGGGTGTTTATATAAGTTTAGAGCTTCACATGATAATCATTTTTTATTACCCTCACTCTTCCTTTTAAAACCTCAGTGATTTAACTGACATGATAAAAAAAACATATATTTCCCACTTCGGAAAAATCAAACTCAGTAGGTCAAGAAAACCTGCCTATCAATTAACCTAATGGCTAGATCGTTCAGCCCTTGTTCAACCAGCCGTTTCTGGTCTGTGTATTAACGGCAAGTTTCTAAATCAAACCCAAATTTGGAATTGATCATTTTCCCACACCTCTTTGCAGTTATGCATTGACAGAATTGAGATTTTCTCCTTATATAGCGCTTCTCACAGTGACATCTCATCATCTAATGGAAACATCTTCCATGAATAAAATAATAATTTATAAATATGAGAAATATTCTACATGCTGTGAGTCCATGTGCTCTATGAGAAATAAATTTAGACTCACATTGGCAAAAGGCTGTGAGGATGGTGTCATTTGCTCGTTTCCCATCAGGGTGGCATCATTTTTCTGAAAAAGGAGTAAATTGCCTCTCAAAAAAAACCCACATTTGCTACAATACTGTCCAACACCTGCGCTGAAACAAGTAAATCAAAACCTTTGATTCGCTGTCATGGCCCCATCTTCAATGAATTGACTCTTGGTGGGGTCATGCAGATGTAATACATGTAAGGCCATGATTTTCTGTTTTAGTCCTGCGCTACAACAGGAGAGATCAGATCTGCTCCTCAGAGAGGCATGCCTCACATCAACATCACGGTGCATGCCAGCTGTGCATTAAAAACATCTCCAATAAATGATGTTATCATTCTTGGGAAGATGTTCCTGATGCACGATGCGATGCACTGTAAAGATGTTGTGAGGCGCGCTGTGTGAATAGCAGATTAGATCTCACACCAGCACAGTAGCAAAAGTGAACTCAATCAAACCAATGACGTGTTTTTTTTTTCCATTCTATCTTTATATCGATAGTTTATAGCCGCCCAAGGTCTTGTCGTTTAACAACCATTCTAAGCCACAGACGACATAGTCCAACTTCAATTTTCTGACCAAAAGTTGAAGAAGAACCTGCGACGAAGCCTTCAATTTGATATATATGAACGGAAATCTTGGTGACAAAAAAAGAGAGGAAGAATAACGAGCTCCAAAAATGGAGGAAGAGAGTAGTGGTTCTGATACCAGGGTGGATTTCTACGCGTTGCCAGAGGGTTGCATCTCCGACATCATTTCACTCACGTCTCCTAGAGATGCATGCCGATCGTCCGCTGTCTCGTTGGTCTTCCGATCAGTTGCAGAGTCAGACGTCGTCTGGGAGAGGTTTCTGCCGTCCGACTACAAGGAGATACTCTCTAGATCGGACTCTCCGCTCCTCTTCTCATCCAAAAAACACCTCTTTTTCCATCTCTGCCATCATCCCATTCTCATCGACAACGGCAACAAGGTAACCAACCAGGAAAAATAAAAAAAGAAAAACTAGTGTTTGGGTTTGGGGTTGATTAGAACCAACAAAAAGTGCTGTTAATCCATAGTTCTGAGTAAAAGCATGAATGATGAAACAGAGTTTTGCACTGGACAGATGCAGTGGAAAGAAATCTTTCATGATAGCAGCAAGAGAGCTTTCAATTGTATGGGGAGACGTTCCCCAGTACTGGAGGTGGAGATCTCTCCCTAATTCCAGGTCTCTCTCTCTCTCTCTGTAAATTCTTCTATTTATGGTAGAAATAGATGGATATAAGAGGTGAATTTGACAAAAGCAGGTTCTCGGAGGTGGCTGAGCTCTTGAATGTGCGATGGCTCGAAATCCATGGCAGAATGGAGAGACGAATGTTGTCTACTGCAACAAATTATGTAGCTTATCTCGTGCTCAAGTTTGTGGAGGGCGGACGCGGGCTTGACACTCAGCCGGCAGAGGCATCGGTGAGGTTCGTCGGAGGTGGGGGCGCTTGTAATGGTCCGCGCAACGTGTTTCTGAAACCCAACACATACGGGCAGCAACGTCCATCTATTGAAGAGCGGCTCGGATATCTCCGCAACACAACCCAACTTGTGTCCCGGTTGTTGCAGATAGCAGAGGGACAGTTCCCCCGGGAGCGAGAAGATGGTTGGATGGAGATTCAGATGGGTGAGTTCTTTAATGGCCCGGGAGAAGATGGAGAGGTGGAGATGAGTCTAATGGAGGTGAAAGGAGGTCACTGGAAGTCCGGCATCATCATCCAAGGAATTGAACTCAGGCCCAAGCAGAGTAAATAAACCAGTGTGGTGTGCCTTTGTCACACAGATAGCTTTACTGATTACATGTGAACCTTCTAAACTTTTTAAACTTTCAATGATGCTTCTGTAATGTAAACTGTCACAGATTGGGATTACGTTAAGTGTGAAACAGTGTAAAAATTTCTAATATGTACTTGATTGTCCAAACAAGACATAGTAAGAAATGATTTAAGCATTAATAATTCAACTGGGAGGAGTAGCCCTTGGGTTAGAGACATGTAAGTTTGGGCAGCCTCTTGAAAACCAATCAGTTTGGGATTCGTTAAGTGTGAATCAGTGTAAAAATTTCTAATATGTACTTAATTGTCCAAACAAGACATAGTAAGAAATGATTTAAGCATTAATAATTCAACTGGGAGGAGTAGCCCTTGGGTTAGAGACATGTAAGTTTGGACAGCCTCTTGAAAACCAATCAGTAGTTCGTTCTCTGAAAATCTTGTGTCCAAAGTCTGAAACATGAGATCGGCTTCTATCAGGCAAATCTGTGCCCACACCATTTTAACAGCCTCATTAGAAATATCACTTCATGAAATAAAGCACACGATATTTTCAATGCGAGTCAGTAAAAATTGCCCGAATGGGCTTTGCCCCGACTGAAGCCAACTCCTGAAACATCTAACATCCTGTGTTTTTACTGTACCAAGCAAGTAGATGATCATTAGGAATCATATGCTGTAACCTGATTACCTTGAAATGGGTATGTACAACCGTATCTTAATAGAAGTGCTAGTCGGTTAAAGGTGGAATAGGCATCTGGGTCAAGTCAACAAAATAAGATAAAACCTAAGCATTGCAAACATGATTTCATGCTTTTGAGTCGGAGACAAAATCGCAGACTGAGCTGGGCTACCTATGAGTGAACACGGCCCACAGTGAATACTAGTATGTTCAATCGTGCTAGGTAACCCATCCCCGTGTACATGATTTTATCTCCAGCCAATCCACTTTTCATATACAAGGGTATGGACAGGCGGAGACCGGATCTGCTCCTCACATAGGGCGGCTCACACGCGCATCCTATCATGCATTGGGAACATCTCCCGTGCTTGTAAGTTATTTTTCACAGGAGATGTTCCCAATGCACAGTGGATGTGCATGTGAGGCGCCCAAGTGTGAGGAGCAGATCCTGTTCCGTCTTGCGATGGTTGAGATTTCCAAAGGTCCAAAGGAAACAGCCAAATCTGATCTGCCTGGAAGGGAGCAAGAAAAGTGGCAGGACCCCGCAAGGGGCTGCACTGCATATTCTTCAGACGGATTAGGCAGCCATAATTCCCTTGATTTCTTCTAGCGAAGGAGAAAGGAACAAGGTCTAAGGGAGTGTGTATAAAGGGAAAACTATCACTGAGGAAGGAGAGGATTCAAGGGCCCTCCATCCGATATTTGGCCCGTCTTTTGTGCTCAAAACACCTATACTACCCCATTTGAAATAAGCATTTTTTTCACCAACACTAAACTGTTTATTTAATAAGCCCTTATTAGAAGTCTGTATAGAAACAATAAGCACTTCCAAACACCCCCTAATACTTCATGTTGTGTATACTAACAAGAGAAAAAGAAATTGCATCATAAATAAACATTAAAACTTTATCCAATTGTATAAATTTAAGTTGCATCTTTTATATAAGTTTGTTGAACTATTTACATCGTTTGACTCCATTCTCCTAAAGAGCAAAACAAAATACAAGGACCATTTTTGGAAAAATGAAAAATGAAAGACTACAATGTAAAAACAATATCAAATTTTATCCATCCTGTATCCCAGCTATATGGTCATGGAATGGATGGATTAGATACAAGATGTAAATGGTATCTATTTTTCCAAATTCCAAATTAATCTAAGGGTGATCAAAAATTGATTCGTTTATAATTGAATTGAATATGGATCCACCATTAATTTAATTAGGGAATTTATCTAAAACTTACCATGACTTTTTAGCATTTCATATCACAATTAGTGATCATTCACAGAAGTTGTCCTGTAAGCAATTAAGTAATGTATATGACCAAAATACACCCAACGGTGAATGAATTAATTTTTGGTGGTTTTGTTGATAACATGAACTTGATATGAAACGATAGAGGAAAAAGAAGGCGAATGGGTGTAAAATCATAATTGTCATGGATGGTTTACAGTTCGAAGTGCTTACAAGCCCTGTTAGAGGGTGGTCATTGCAAGCATGAACCAGGGCTTACCAGTACTGAAGTCCACATTATGGAGCTCCGGTGGAGATAAACTCTATTGTTTTGGTTATAAGTTGCAGCAGCATTGAAATAGAGGAACATTTGTCTTGGCGATGTTCGTTTACAACAACTGAATCTTTTGGATCCATTATTGTAGGTTTGTGAGGCTCTTGGAGTGGACAAATTTTGGTTAATGTATGATCAATGGATGTTAATCAATAGGATGTGTAGACGTAATGAAGACAAGCGTGACAAGTACTTTTTAGATTGCAGATTTGTGGTAAGCTAGTAACCATTATTGTATGGAGGGCTTGGAACTGAGGGCCTGTTCATTTCCTCTTAACTCTTATCTCTTAGGAGAAATCTTTTAACTTTAAGAGAAAAATTATTGTTCATTTCTTCTTATCTCTTATCTCTTAAAGTGCAATCATACAAATTTTTGTTTTCCAATGATACCCCCAAAAAGACAAACAAAAACTCTCATATATGGGGTCAAAATGGATATTTGACAACTTTCAGAATTCATAATTTAGAACAACATTCTCTGCACTTAGAGTTCAAAGGAAAGAAAAGTTCATCCATACCAATATACCTCTTAATGTCATTATTGCACTTTCAGATGTTAGACATCAGAGCAAACGAATAGACCTTGAGTTACCTCTAAAGGATGGTAACCAAAGCCAGCAAAGGTTATTGAATATGAGATTATTTTAATGGTATTCAGTCACTTTTAACGACTTTAAATTGCTACAAGCAAATGGCTTCTATCAAGCACAGATTGGTGGGAACTATGAAACAATTCACAGATACATGGATTGGTGCAAGAAGATTGAATTTCAGTCGAGCACAAGGGCTCTCAATCTCTTGGCAAGGGTCCTTAGTGGGTTTCAAGGAAAATCCCTGGAATTTAGAATACATAGGTTCAAATATGCAATTTGGATAAAGAGAGCATAGGCCATGTGCTTTATGCCACAAAGGACATCAAGGCTCTCAAGGCTAGGACATCAAGGCCATAAAGGACATCAGTGACCATGGACACGGGTATCTTGTCTGAACCCAACCAAGGGATCACATTTTGTATTTTGAGAATCGAAAATACTCACCCTAACTGGCATGACAGATTGACTCAAGAACAATACATCAAATTGCTTGAACTTCTTTATATTCTTAAACTGATTAACCGACCCAGCTACAGTGTTTGATTTATTGAAGACCTTCTCTACCATAGGTTTCAAACAAGGAAGGGGGAGAAAAGGGGAAAAGAGAGAGAGAGATAGAGAGAGAAGCATCTCTGGTTCGTCCGGGGGAAGAAACATGAACAATGCTTTTCCTAACAGTTCTGGATATTTGGAGGGATATGATTGGAAATCCGATAACACCACTTATCTTTTTATCGTAGATAACTTATAGGGGGCTTTCTAGAGGTTTTGAAATAAGAGAAATGCAAAAAAGTCATGGTAAGTTTTAGACAATATCCCTGTAGAGATAGTTGATAGGTTGTTAGTGTGTGTGGTCCCACACTTTATTTTTGTGTTTATTTCTTTATCTTACTTCATGACAGTAATGGTCGTTTGGTCAGTTGGGCCATGTTTATTTGTTTCTGTTTTCTTATGAATTTAGTAGGGGTATTAGGGGAATTCTACCTTTTGTTAAGTTACAAGTATAAATAAGAATTAGTGGGGCGGCCAGAAATAACTAACTGCACCCTTTCTCTCTCTTTTCTCTTCTTCTCTTTGGTTCTAGGTTAATAGTTCTTCTACTTCTCTCTGAATCACATCAAAAAATAGATTTTTCTTTGTTTCTTTTATTCAAGTTGGTATCAAAGCAAGGCGAAGACATATTAGGGTTCTCATGTGAGCTTGATCTGGTCGGCTGCATGAGAACTCCTTAGGACTGGATGTTCTGCAGTAGTGCCTGATTCTTGGAGGTTGTTGGAGTATTGGAAACTTCCCAAGGAATTGAAAGATCCTTGGAGATTGCCTAGTGGCCAGGAAGGATTAAAGAAAACAGGTGAGTCCAAGCTCAGGGTTTCAGTTGAGGTGGTGATCAATGTCCTTCTGAGAAAGGTACATTCTTTAGTAAGGCCGACCTTAGTTAGAAGCAGTTTAAGCCACTCTATGAGCAGTGGTTGGTAAATCTGTCTTCCCTGCTGATTTCTCTAAGTTTTTCAAACCCTACAATCAGTTTTTAGACTCAAAGACTGATTTTTCATACTGATGATGAATTAGGTGGTTGATTATTGATTGTGGATGTTTTTCTTGGAAGGTGACTATGATGATTGTTCCTGGCTGTGAATGAATTCTGGGTTGTTATTTTTAATTCTTTAGGGTTTTCAGCATAAAAAAGGTTTTTTTTTTATGGTTGCTTTCTTGAAGTCTTTACCTGTTAGTGTTCTATATAGAATGGAAAAGGCTAGAAGTGAGCTGAAGACTCAAGGGAAGGACTTTTAGGGACTGGTAGCATGACTAAAAATTATTTTCAAGTTACCACTATTAGGTTTAATGGAACCAATTACACAGAATGGGCCCAAACAGCAATGATGGCTAATGGAGGTAGAGGTAAATTAGGCTATGTGTCTAGGGACACAAAGAAGCCAACCAAGGATGACACATTACATCCCAAATGGGTTCAAGAGAACTATTTAGTGATGACTTAGCTATGCAACTCTATACAACCTCACATCAGCCGAAACTACTTATGGGCAAAAACAACTAAGGAGATTTGGGGCAACATGAAAGAGACATACTCCCAACCCCTTAATGTTGCTAGGGCTTATAAGCTGAAGTGCGAAGTGAAGCAAGGGAAGAATCTCAGTTTACTTTACTACTCTAAAATCCCTATGGCATGAAATTGATCACTTGGAAACAACCGAGTAGGAAAGTCAAAGGGATGCAACAACATATAGAAAATTGATTGAAACAAACAGAGTGTTTGAGTTCCTAGCTGGTCCAAATTTAAATTTTGATATTGTAAGACAACAACTACTTACTAGGGAAAGTGTGACACTATTTCAAGCCTACGCATTGGTACACAGTTAAGAGAGTAGGAGAAAGGTTATGTTATAATTTCAGTCTATGGGGTCAACCTTAACAGCAACAAAATCTAAGGTTGGAGGGGAGAAGGAAAGGGAAATGAAGAAATGAAAAAGAGACATTTTTTGTGATCATTGTAACAAGCCAAAACATACCAGGGACACTTGTTGGAAGTTGCATCCCCACCTGATGCCAATAAGACTCAGAAGCAAGAAGGGAAATTCTAATATGGTAGTTAATACAAACAGTGCATCCACTTCCAGCACAAG